ACCAAGAATCTCAATGGCATTCATAGACTTGAGTCCTCAGCTCTTCATATGATCAAGATTCATTTGAAAGGAATTTACCAAAGTACAAGAAACAAGAGGACTTGCTGGTAGAAAACAAAGAAAACCCAGAGAGAGAGAGAGACCAGTAGAATAAAATGAATACTGAGTCTTAATCTCATCTCTGCTGCCAGTCAGTCGCCTGGGAAAACCCCATAAATTTCTCTTCCAAAGAAATTGTTTTGATTTTTGTTTCTCCAAACCACAACCCTTCTCCCCCCTGTCTCTTTCTCCCCCCACCTCATTACCCCGATCCCATGCACACACCCAGGATCTCCAACATGGATTACCACTTACCAACTTTTTGGTTTATCCCCTCTAGTGTAGATTACTACCAATTTTGCTGGGTTTACCCCCTGTCCTTTCCACTTTGATATGAGGATGATCTGAGATTCAGAACACCAACAAGGCATCCCTCCTTCCAGGTATGAAAGAGGATTTGCAGTTAGGCTCAGGGCTCCTTCAAAAGCTCAGCAAAGTCTGTGCACTGGCAGAGCACGGACCAGCAACCTGCTTCCTTACAGATCAGATCTACGGCGGGTTGGCTAGCCTGGGCAAGCCAACACTGCCACCTGGCGGCCCCTGAGAGAGTGATCTCCGATGAAGAACGTGGGTTGGACCTCTCTCTTCCCTGGACCACAGCCAGCTCCTCTTCCAACCCCACAAGCTTCCAGCAGAGTGCTCTCCAGAAGCAGCTCACCACAGAAGAGGCACAAGTTGTAGGTCTGCTTGAGGACAAAGTGGTATGAGATCACACTCTGGATCACCTATACTTCCTAAGTCAGCCCCATGAACATCAATCCACACCACGCTGTGTTTTGAACATTTATTTCAATGAGAGAAAGAGAGCGAGCACGCAGCGGGGGAAGACAAAGAGAGAGAGAATCTCAAGCAGACTCCCCATTCAGTGTGGAGCCTGACGTGGGGCTCAATCTCAGGACCCTGAGATGAGACCTGAGCCAAAACCAAGAGTCAGACGCTTAACCAACTGCACCACCCAGGCACCGCCCCCCATGTTGTGTTTTGAATGGAGATTTTCCCATTATCGAAAAAATGCTTTTCAAAGATGATTCCAAGCTCCAAGAAGCCACTCAGACACGAGAACCACATGGACACTAATCTAGTGCTACAGGATAGAGGACAGCACATGCCTGGGAAGCACCTTCAGGACAGAGACGATAGGCACCTGTTCAGAGAAGGTGATCATGGCCCAGGCAGGCAGGGTTTCTCCCTTCGTTGGACATACCCAGACTCATCACCTCCGAAATGCACACACATGCTGTAAGCCCTTCCCTGTCGAAGACAGAAAACAAGCCCCAGGATGTTTAGATAAACCCTAGTGATCCTGTGGGTGAAACTTCCCTTCAAGCCATTTTCATATCCTCTGTCCTGGTGAAAAACGAGCTAACTAGCAGAATGCAGGAATGAAGTTCCTGTAACTCCAAGTCACCCTGCCTTCAGGCTCCAGCAGCAGTCCAAATTACCCACGGAATGAGCTGCCACCACCTCTGCAGAAGCAACATGGGAAGTAACCTGAAGCTCCTTCCCAAGTTTAGGTGGGGCCTGCTGCTGGGAACCCTGGAGGAGGGCTGGCAGGTGAGGGAGCTGAGGCATCAGCCATCCTGCTTTTGTGCCCGCCTGGAGGGGGCATGGGCAGTGCCTGGGCTCACAGCACCTTCAGCTCCTGCCTTACTCTAGCTTCTCCCCAGCTGCTGGGCCAGGTGTGTTTAGCCCAGTCCCTTGTCCCCATCCCTGAAGTGGGCTATCTGGAGGTAGTGAGGCTGGCACAAGTGTCCTCATGGCCCAAAGTCACAAATTCCAGTGCTCCTGCAACCTCCGTTTCACACCTGTCATCCCTTCCCAACAGCCTGCACTGTGGAGTTTAGGCTCCAGCACCACACACAGACCAGATCCAGCTCCTCTTAATCGTACCAGGTCAAACCCTGTAATAATTCCCTTATTATTTGTCTCCTACAAGTTGTTTCCCTGATTGAACCTGTCTGAAAAGGAGTTAAGGGAGTTTTTTAAATTGTGTATGCATCACCTGGGTATTCGATTTAAAATACTTTTAGGGCTCAGTTCAGAGACTACAGTATGTCTGGGGTGCGCCCAGGAATTAGTTTTTAACCAGTGTTCTATGTAATTCTGATACAGGAGATTCCACCAGTCATACTCTGAAAGTCACAAATAGAGGGAACGCAGACCTCAAGTCCGAAAGCAAATTAGTAAATGCTGTTGGCCATGAAGGGCGCTTCTAGGTATTAGGTACAGAAAGGCAGGGTCAAGACATTTTGGTAATAAGGACACTGTCCTGGTAACCGGTCCATATTACTCTCAAGTAGGCTTGCAGTTGGTCTTGTAGCCTGTTCTTTCTGCAATTCGAGCAGAAAACGAGGCTGTGTGTGAATCATGGAGGCCTGCGTGGCACCTGCCAGTCACAGGCTCAGGCAAGCCAGCACAGCCCCACTGGGGAGTTCCATGGAGCAGACTTCAGAGAAGTATTTCTGCCCTTTCTGATTATTAAAGAGAAAACAAAGAGGGGTGCCCGGGTGGCTCAGTCATTGGCATCTGCCTTCGGCTCAGGTCA